AAGGTAGCTTGTGACGATCCCATCATTGCAATGCACGTAACAGTACGTTGTTTGTCTTCCCCGGCTGCCCCTTGCTGTTTTGATGCATTGTTGTCACGTTTGGGGCTGCAACTCCTTCGTGGGGAGGACGAACGGCTGTCGCTGGTGTGCAGTTTTGCCTTTCCGCGGGTATGCGGTTCCCACCCTGGTGGTATCCACCCAGGGGGTGCCTTGGTACACTTGAAGAAGGGGTGGCCAGGCTCCTTGCAGTACCAACACACGAGAGATGAGCGACTTGCATCTCCATCCTTGCCATGCGTTTTCTCCCCAATTGACCCCTCCTTCCCGTTATTGCCCTTTGCAGTTGGAGAAGGTGAGCAGTCTCCACGTGCTTGTCCAACCATGCGAGGTGGACGCCGGTCACGGTTATCCTTTGTGATGAGATCGTGATATCTCTGCTCCCGAATCATCATCCGCTGCAAAGTGAAGCTGTCCGTCACGTTGTGCAGCATTGCCGAGTGCCTCATCTCCTCCCAATGCACTGGTAGTCCGGTGAGCAGATTTAAGGTGAAGGTATCTTCATCCACCATCTTCCCCGCGAGTGCTAACTTGTCCCGGATTGCTGTTGCGCGGTTGACGTACTCCTCCACCCTTTCGGTGTTCCCCATTTTCAGGTTGTCCAACTGCTTCAAGAGAGAGACCTTCGCCACCGAATCTTTGGCCTGGTAAGTGTCCATCAAATACTCCCATGCTTCATAAGCCGGGCTGTAGGATTCCTGGAACATGTCTAGCTGTAGTTGAATCGTGGCGCTCACGCTGTGCAATAGGACCCAAAAGGCGAGTGCCGCACGCTGGGAGTAATCCGCCTGTAGCATTTCCAGCCGCCCCATAGCGTCGTCAATGTCACCATCTCCCATGGTAACCGGATACTGGAGGGTCACAAAGAACTCCCACAGATTCGTGACGCGGGCGTTCATACGAAACCGTAGTGCCCATTCGCGGAAATTTGAGCCGTCAAACGGAGTGGTGGTGAATGCCTTGTCCACCGTTGCTCCCACCATTTTGCGTGACAGTCGTTCCTTGTCTTCGTCCGTATATTCACGTGGTGCGGGTTCGAAGAGAGTAGGCATGGTTGACGGTCGAGGTAGCTGTACCGTGCGCCGCATATCTCCATTCTGTCCACCAAGTTGACGTTCCAGCACTTCCACTTGATCCCGTCGCATGACACCACTTGACTGCATTCCGTATCCCATCCGCCCCATGCTGTCCACAGAGTGTGCGCTGATTGGTGGATGATGTGCATGTGGAGGGATGATGTTGTCGCCATGAAGGTGAGACCTGGGCATGGGAAGAACTCCAATGGGATGAGAGTTAGTCGCAAGTCGTCGTAGTGGGGGAGCACCAATAGTGTAGGAGGCAAATCCCACACCTTCCACGCCCACTTCACCATTTCTGTCACCCTGATGCCCAATCTGTCCACTTCTCGTTCCACCAAGCACTGCACTCCGATACTCATCATTCCTCCCCCGTGCTTCCCTTTGCATGGATGATTGAGGTGCGGAATTGGCGATCTCCTCTCCTTGGACGGATGCATCCCTCCATTGGGATGACTCTCCTCCTTGAGGTATGCCCATTTCCCATTCACCATCAATTCCTGCATGAACATTTGCACGAGTTTGGCTAGTACGTGGAGTGCTTGAATGAGACTGTCCATGGGTGGACGGATTGCTGAACTCATGAGAGAGTTTTGCTCTTGGCTGGATTGTCATTCCAAACTTGTCCCTTAACGAAGCTTGGAGAGTTGGTGGTGCCCTTGCAATCATGCTTTCCAGGTGCTCATGCTGAGCCATGATGGCTTCTTCAAAAGCCGCATATCCAAGATCCACTTCGCCATCGAAGTGCGCCATGACCTTGACAAAACCGTCCACCAAGTGTGCGGTAAACGCGCGGTTGTAACCAACAGCGAACACCAGGTGTACGAAAGCGTAGACCGGGTGTGCGGTACTCCGACTGTATGCGAGTACCTATCCAAACTGTATGCCAGTAAATTCCTGAACCAGTTTTGGCAGCATGCCCCCCATAGTAGCTCTGATACCATGCTAGAAAGGCATAGTGCCAGCGTAGCGGAAACGTGTTTGTAGAAAAGGACGAGATAGAAATCTTGCATTGATCATTGAAAAGTAAAAGGATGACACAATGAGTACTCAATGATGTGACACAGCAGGGTATATATGCATCCAGCTACCCCTCCAAAATGACCCATTCACACCAATAATGGTGTACCAATAATTGTACCCTCTACCCTCCAATAATGCTGACCTCCAATAATTCTGGCCCCTAGAATAATTGTAGGACCTGGAAGCTTATAAAGAGGACTACACTAAAACCAAACAGCACACTGGTATACAGTATTCGTTATACTGTATTCGGATTTCCAACAGAGGTTACGCGAAGGTCAAAGGTCAGCGACCTTTGACTTGACAAATGCAGCGCGACAGCAAGGACACACAACTGACTCGATATTGAGCAGTTGCCCGAGTCGCACTGTATCGAACCGCAAAAGCCAACAGTAAAACAGTTATCATTCGTATCTCTTCGTATTCCTTGTAATCATATATAAAATATTGTATCTCCTTGTTTTAATCAACTTACTTTGCCCTCACATACTAGCGCAAGGTGGTTCAGAATCTCTTTGTTAACGCTTCCGCTACTACATCATTCTACCCAGACATTAACCCTACCAAAGATCCTAAGGGGCACTCAGCCCAACACCGACTACATCGCGTATAGCAACAGCCGTTGTTCGCCCGTTACTGCTAACGGAACTTCGCCAACTTCGCGCGCACTGTTTTGCCAAACCTCGCACTGCTGGCCCGGCCGTGTCGGCCTACGCTTCGGGACTAGCCCGAGCCTCGCTACCAGCGTAGCACTAGCTAGCTCGCACGCACCGCGTTACCGTTTGCATGTTCGCGTATAAATGTTCGCTCATGCCTTCGCTCACATCTTTGTACTCGTTTTGACACCTTAGTGCAATTCTCGCTACTTCTATTCATTGCATAGTAGTGAATGTTGATTTAATTCAATGCTTGCGGCTCATTTTCCTGTAATGTGAATCTATTTTCTTCTGTTTGCTTCCAGCTGTTCCAGCCCCTACGTGTCACTCCCCCGCTTTGCGAATCCTCATGAGACCCAACGAGGGCAAAGCCCAATCGCCTGGTTATCCCATAACCAGACGCTGACGGCTGGCCGTCAGAGCTCTCCAAAATAATTTCATGAGATTGGTCGGATTCAGCACTTGGAACACCCATTTAGCCGCTTGCGCATTGCGCGTATTGTAGAAAATTGAGATAAGGATAAAAGAGTATGATTGCACAATAGAATAAGACAAGAGTAAACAGTGGAATTGTAGTAAATGAGGATGAGCTTGATAGAAGAGAAGATGATACTTAGAACTTGGGACTATAAAGAGAAACTTGTGTAAGGTGGAATGCTTGATGAGATAAAAAACACAAAAATGGAGAAAGAGAGTATGAGCTTGTTGAGAGAATAAGAGAGGGGATAGGCACTTACTTAAATGAATCTTACTAGGGATAGTTGTAGAGGTGACTTGTAGGAATGGCTTGGTCTTGAGAGCTTTACTTGAAGAAGAACATCAAGCTTGGTGTTGGGTGATGATCCTTCCTCAAGCTTGTAGAAAGTAATGAACCTTATACTCAAGTAGAGTATGAGGTGATTACTCTTCACTTGATGCTTAACTTTGTAGACTAATGAGAGACACTTTGTGAGCATAAACTTATATTGAAAGAGGTATAGTACAAGCCTTATAGATCCATGAGGGATACATAGGCATGCATAGAGAGAGTAACCATCAATGGTAGCCTTGGAAGAGAGTTGCATGAGAGTATCAACTTTTGGAGACATAGAACTTGGTTGCTAGTGAGGAGCCTTTGTAGTAGAAGAGGAGCTTGAAGGAGAAGCTTGGAAATGAGCTTGGTGAAGAAGCTTGGAATGCATTGTTGTCATTGAAGAACCTTCTTGAGAAGTTGTAGAGATGCTTGATGTAGATGAATAGTATTGGAGCATGTGATGGTGGTTGAGCACTTGATGAGTTGGAGATGTAAGCCTTGTTGAGTTGGAAGAGAGCTTAGTGAGTTGGATAAGGATGAGTGGAGGAGATGATGAGTTTTGTTCCCTTGTAATAGGAGGTGATGGGATAATCATGAAGTCCTTAGGGATGAGGTGGCAACTTTGGTGACTTGGGAAAGGAATGATGGAAGGAATAAATGAGAGGCATGTGGAGGTTGATGACTAGGAAGTGGAAGCATGTGCTTGAAGGCACATGGGAGGAGGATAATTGGAGGAGGTAGATGACTTGGGTAAACTTTGATGAGTAGGAAAGGAAAACACATGGAAAATCATGAGGAGTCATGTGCCTTATGGTGGGACTTGAGGATAAGTATGGGAAGTTGGTTTGAATATTGGTTGAGTTGGACTAGGAAAGTCTATGGTGGTTGGGAGTAATTAAAGAGGTGGTTGATAGGCTTGAGTTGGAGAGGATGAGTTGGAAAAAAAGGAGTTTGTAACTTGAGTGGTTGGAATAGGCTTTGGAAGAGTTGAGTGGTTTGGATGGGCTCTTAGGAAAATGTGTCGAGGGTGTTTTGAGGGGAAGGGGTTGGAGTGGCACAGTAGCGTGGCACGTGAAGAGCGTGCCATTCACAACACGTATCCCTCCTTCTCGTGGTCATCGTTGCAGCACACCCGAGAATCCCAGAATGGCTCGCCCTTGTTTGTGTTTCTGCTCTGCGCCCCGAGTCTCTGTTGGAAAAAGTTACTCATTCGGAGAAGTCTTGGCTTGTGTCTCCTTTGCGGTACTCGTTTTCACGCTGCTTGTTGACTCTGCAAATGGACAAGGGGCTCAGGGAACCGTGCTGCAGGTAAAGTCCTTTGTTGCGAAACGACTCGGCCTCATAGTTTTTTAAGAAAAAGCATGCCATTTATGTTTCCTGTTTCACGGTCGCCAGGCTATTCCCGAATCCTCTAATTCGTCTTGGGAAGCAGGAGGCGCATCGGGCCTGCGCCTGGTTGTAGGCCCACCATCCTTTCTGCTCAAAGGACCAATCGCGCTCAAACTCGCCCTCTCCCCGTCGACCCAGCAGGTAGTGTCGCGCTCACATTTTCACGGTACGTCTCTTTTCTTCAGCTTCGTTCGTTGCAACAGGCTGAGATTGTTAATACAACGTGTCATAATTCCGGTGGCTTGCAGGTCGAGTGGACATGGGTTCGCAGTAGCTTTACAACCATACCCCCTCAGCTCCAGGTCGCTCTCATAGGGCCAGGCGTTGCTGTTCCTCTTGCAAATTTCACTGCAACAGATGTCAACCTCACCGTATCTGGTAGGTGGTAAATCCCTGCTGCTGTCATTTCCAGCGCGCACCTCCTTCATGTGAAATGAAGAATGCATTTTGAGCAGGTGGGAATTTCACGACAAGTCCTGAAGGGAACTTCACCTTCACTCCTCAAAACGCTTCAGTTTTGTTTGGGCGAGTTACGGGAAAGTATTTTGGAGAAGACGTGGACCTGAAGAATGTCAACGTGGACATCCCCAGCAATCAAATCACAAATGTCGCCGGTCAGATGTCTGCAACTGTACGTGCACGTGCATTTTTTATTATCAGCACCCACAATGTTTGCTGGACTTGATTCCGTGCTCACTCTTCTATTCATGATTGTTATCATGCAGAATACTTCTCTTCTGCTGATGGCTGATTCAGACCCTATTGTCAGAATCAGGTGTGTTATCGAATGCATGGCTGAGCTGTATGCACTGTATGTTCACCGGTATATCTGTGTAAAAACTGTTTTCATGACTAATTGTGTGCAGGGACGTGCTTCAAGCTGTTCAGGCAGGTTCCGGCCTTCTAGGCTTAGCTGGCAACTCATTTTTACAGTTCAGACTCCATGTTAATGCAACGGGGCCATTAACTGCACCTGCTTCAGCTCCCGCCCCAAGCCCAGCTCCTGTTCCAAGTCCAGCTTCTGCTCCTAGCCCAGTTCCTGCACCAAGCCAGGCCCCTGCTCCATCCCCTGCAGTTTCACCTTCACCATCGTATGGCACTTCGCCCTCTGCATTACCGCCCTGTCAATCTGTCACTTGATATTCACACATTGCTACTCCATTGCTGCAGGATCTAGCTGCAAGTTGACTTTTCTTTACTTTGTTGAAATGAAACTGCATCGTTAGTGTTCGTTGTTCGAGCTAGCAACTGTTCGACATGCTTGGCAGCATCAGTAATTTACGCTGTTCGATTATGCTTGCCAGTTACAAGGTAGTTGACCAAGTCGTTGAAATATGTGCAAAATGACTGAATTACTTGTTTTTGTATCGCAAAATTGACTTTATATCACAATCTAAGCGACAGCGAAGGAGCCGACGGTGCCCTCAACGAACTTCTTGGCACCCTTGAACCACCTCTTGTCACCGGAGGAAGCCTTGCAGATGTAAAGCGTGCCGTTAGACACGGCAGCGGTGAAGAGCTGGTGCCTGCCACCCTCACCACCGTCAGCGGTACGGGTGAGAACGTTCAGCTTGTAGTAGGTCTTGCCGTTAACCTTCTCGGACGAGGACTCCAGCACAGAAGCGGTGACAGCGGCGTTCTTCTCGAAGCCACCCTCGGAAGCGGTCTCACCAGCGAAGACCTGGACACCGAGGAGGTACTTGTACTGCAAAACACAAAGGGCAGATGTTAGAAAGTGTGCAAGACCGTCATCTATAACAGTAGGTGTCGTGTCACCAAATTGGCGTCAAACCTACAGCGTGCACTTTATAAAATTATACCTTCTCAAGGAACTCCTCGGGGGAACCGAAGTCGCTGATGGAGCCCTTGCTGGTCGGCTCAGCAATGACGACCACGTTAGCGAGGGCATCGAAGTTGTCCTCATATCTCAGGACGATGTTGGCGAACTCGCCGACCTCCTTGCTGGGGTTCCACTTGGAGGGAAGGTTAATGGAGAAACCCGCACCCTTGTACGGAATGTAGTCGGTGTTGCCGGGGCCCTTGCCGAAGACGTTGGCTGCCAAGGGAGGAGGGGTAGCGCACAGCTGAGTCAACGTTCTAAGCCTGGTGCAAATCTTGCATCCCCTACGGCGCACGAGCAAAGCGCATGCATGTGACACACGCTTTCAGGCAGCGTCAACATTGCCACGGATACGAAGGAGCTACGAGACGTACCAGCCTCGCCATAGGCAGCCTGAGCGGGGGCAGCCTTCAGGGTGAGGGCAGCAGCGGCACCAGCGAGGAGGGTCACAGCGTTCCTGCGGGAAACAACAACCTCCTCCTCGGACTTCTGGGCACGGCAGGTGAAGGCACCGGCCTTGGCGGCCACAGCCTTCTGGGGAGCAGCGACGGCCGCACCGGAGAAGGAAGAGCTGAGGCTCTTCAGGGCAACGCTGGTAGCCATGGAAGCAGCGGCAGCCATTGCTTCAGGTGGATGACAACCAGAGATTGCGCTGAGATGGGTGAGATCGGCGAATTGAGGAGAGCTGCTGAATTCCCGAGGAAGATCGAAGGTGGTCCCTATGTGGTTCCCCAAGTCACTAGGTGCCCAAGGTCGATGTTTGGTTCTGGAGGCAAATTGTCAGCGATTTTGCGACCCCTCGATTCGACATGTGGATCGCATCCAACGGACGAATAGCGTCCGAAATCGAGTTACGGATGATTCTGGGCTCCCGTTCCAAAGATAAGGATAGCTCGTGTCCACGTAAGCAGGTTTTGTTCGCCAACCAGAGCAAACACTGTGCAAGGTTCAAACGAGAAGGGTTGCGAAAATGAGCGCGAGCGTGTTACTCATTCTGTCTGTAATGGTTCAGATATTGGTTTTGAGACTGTAGGTCGCCACGCCACCTTGTAAGAATATATAGAAACATACCGGCCTATGGAACACAATATATATCATTGGTAAATTTTAACATTATTTTTTAGTTCTTTCTTGAAGTCTTCCGTCAAAAAATCCTTAATTCACACTAGTTGCCTAAATCACATTGCTATGAAACTAGCCAATTATATATTATTATTAAGCTTGTTACTAAAGGAACCAATTAAACTTCCAGAACCAGAACAAACAGAATCTATTCATTTCTCCCTTCCATCCTTGTGTATTGCCAAAGGAACTGAATTAAAGTTGATACAGTACAGTTGTATCACGATTTTGAATTCATGACTCCTCATCGGTTTTTTTTTTTTTTTTTTTTTTTTTTTTTCTTAACTGCCACGAAATTAGTAGGTCGGCTCTTGTACATGTATGGGAGATTTCTTATCAGTATGGACAATCAAAAAGCACAACAGAGTGGCGGAAGATTCTGGTGGGATGTGGTAGGGAGGTGACAGAAGTTGAAACTGCCAAAAAGAACCCAAATGCAACACACATAAAACCCCACTCCAGATACCCAATCAAAACGCCCAGTCAAGACACCCCATCAAGACATCCCATCCCACACCCCATCCCCCCCCCCCCCCCCCTTCAATCACATCAACGTATCGACCATGTACGGGGCCTCCACCCAGAGAGCCCCGCCTTCCACATCGACATCGTCCCTCTCCCGATCCACCAAATCTACGTTAATCCCCCCCATGGAAGACACTGCTCGAAGCAGGATGACACGGGCTTGCGCCCGTTGTAACGCCACCCCGATGAGCGCCTTCAGTGACCCTAAAAGATAAGCCGAAAACACAGAGTCGTCCTCTCGACAAGCCCCCCGCGACACAGCTAGTCCCACGTACGCATCCCCCTGCTGACGAAGCCACCGCTGAAAACGACCGCCGAGACACCCCCACGTCTCAACTATCAAAGGGGTGAACTGCACGCCCCGGTTGCGTGCAAGCAGAGGCGCGTAGTCACTCGTTTTGCGGAGCTCCCACTCCCTTGCCGCCACACCTATTTGACGCCCGCACTGTCCCAGCAGTGATGGAGACAGCGATAGCTGGTCCGCGACGCTGATCTCTAGGGCGTGAGCCTCTCCAGCCATTGGACGTCGCACCGCCACATCAACCCGCTTCCCATGCAGCACCACACTATCCTCCATTGTCACCACCCTCCTCGACGCCTTAGAGATCTTCGCCACCGCAAACTTCACCTCATCATGCACCCGAGAAGGACCATGCTGATGCCTGCATCTCAGGGCATGGTACGGATCTGCTGGGTCAACAAACGCTGTGCCACAAACACACCTCCCCGCCACCTGCAGCTGCTGGATTGGGAGGCCGAGCCGTATAGCAGCAGCAATGCCCCACTCAGCCGCAGTGAATGTGAGATATGAGTGAGCCGGAACCGCCGAAACCCATGCACCTGCCCCCGGGCCCTGAAGGGATGTGAAACGGGCCAAGGTGGCATCGTCACGAGCCAAGCGGCGCAGTGCCTGGAGCTCCTCTACAGCTAACTGCCGCTGCCGCGCCTGGAAAAGCCGAACAGGAGGGGCCGCTACACACAGAGGTAAGCCCGGTATCTCGTGGCGGATAGTCGCTGGCAGCTGCTCAAGAGCCTTGACAAACCACGGGTCAAGAAACTGATCAGTTTCTTCAGACTGCCTAGCCTACACCAGAAACAATTTGTTTTTGGTTAGGTGCTCCTGCATCCACAGAACTCCTGCGCATAGCGCATTCCGTGCTGACGCGGAGAGTTCAGCTTAGGAACTAGCCTCGCAATCTGCTTTGCATTCAGCAACCGTCATTGCAACCTGTAAGAAAAAGGAGATGTCCAGTCCCTGTCAGTGTGCTCGGCCCTTTTGACGTTTCGTGCCGCAAGATTGTTCCGGCCATGATAGCATGAGTTTCTTCAACTCCTCACCGTAGTTATCATCTGCCTGAACCGGTCCTTAGCGACGTTCGCTTCAGTTTCGTTGTTTCGCAAGGCGCTTTCGCGAAGTTGGTTGCGACTGCGACATGACGAGACGAACGAGGCGACGCACTGGATGCCCAAGCGCTACGCCTGACGTGGAAATCTCAGGCTCCGCTGCAGCGGCAACCAATGAGGAGGTGACACCTGTCAGCCAGAGAGGCCGATCGCGAGGGACGGTAGGGCGTCGTTTAGCTTCCACGGACACGCCAGGCGGGTCCGTCAGGCTCGTGCCTGAGACCACTGCTGCTGGTGCGAATCCTTCTGCAACCCTCGCTCCGACTCCTGCGAATCCCGCTGCGACTCCTTCGGCGACCCCTGCTGCGACGCCAGCGACTGGCTCTGGGACTTCTCCCGATGTTGCCCTTCCGCATCCCGCCTTAGCCGATGCTGTCAACACCGCTGATTGCGCAGGATCGCGGAACTCGCTCGCGCTTCCCCCCTTGCTCGAAATCTCCGCGGAATCTCCGCCTCCCGGTCCCTCCTCCGCGTCCTCTTCCGCGTCCGCGCGCTTCACCCCCAAATCCGCGCCCAGTTCGTCCGCTGCAGACGCTCCGCGCTCGCCGGCGGAAGTTCCCGCCTTGTCCGCGGAAGCGCACGCCTCATCCGCGCTAGCTCGGCAGCAAAACGCACGCGCTGGCGGAGGGGATGCTGGTCGCGCAGACGGGGTGAGCACGGTTTCCGCGCGGCTGGACGCTGTAGCGGCGGAGACAGAGGCGGAAGCGTGGATTGCTGACGTGGCAGGCGGAGAAGGCGGAGGAGACGCCTTGTTCTGGTCAATGGATATGACAGAAAGGGAAAGAGGAGGGGAGGAGGGGAGTGAAGGACAGGGGGTGGATGGGATGGTTGAGAAGGTGGGTCAGCTGGGAATGCGTGAGGAGGTAGGGTTACTAGAGAGTGGTTGGGAGGAGATTAAGTTTGTGGAGAGGTGTGAGGAGGTTTTAGAATTGGTGGACGATGAGGTGGAGGAGGGTGAGGAGGATGGGGAGGATGAGGAGGAGGAGGAAAGGGAGCAGCAGCAGCGGCGGCGCCGACAGCAGCGGGAGAAGGGGCAGCCGGAGCAGCAGCAGCAGCAGCAGCAGCAGCAGCATGGCTCTCAGGAGGAGAAGGAGAAGGAGGAAGAAGGCGGGGTTGGGAAGAAGCAGGAGCAGGCAGGGCAGGCGCGACAGAAGCAGCAGGCGCAGCAACAGAATGTGGAAGAGAAACAGCAGCATCAGCATCAGAAGCAGAAGAAGCTGAAGCAGAAAGAGAAACAACAGGCCAGCACCAGCCAACAGCATCCAACCACAGCACCTTCACCCTCCGCACTAAACGACCCAGCAGCCCAACAGCAGCAGCAGCAGCACCCAGCACGTGTACACCCCCCTGACTGGACCTCCCTTCCAGCCGAAATCACCCTGCGGATCTTCTCCCTCCTTGCCTTCCGCGACCTCGCTCGAGCATCCTGCGCCTGCTCCTCCTGGTGCCACCTCTCCTTCGCGCCCTCCCTCTGGACCACCCTTGACCTCCGCTGCTACCCCCCTCTCTCCGCCGCTGCTGCGGATTCCCTCGCTGTGAGGTGCGCAGGGGCGCTCACTCGCGTGCATGTGAAGGGGGCGGAGTCGCTCCGAGCGGTGGCCAGGCTTGCTGCGGGGTTTGGGAGGTTTGACAGGTGTGGAGAGCTTTTGGAAGGATCTTCCGGGGGTGCTCGTGCTGGGGTAGGGGCCGGGGCCTCTGCTGGTGGCGCTGCTGCTAGTTCAGCGGCTCCTCCTACTTTTCCTTCTCCTCCTGCTCCTCCTCCTTCTGCTGCTATTCCTTCAGCTGGTGGTGCAAGCGCTGATGGTCCTGTTAGGGCGGTTGGCAGTGGCAGCAACAACAGCAGCACCAGCACAGGATACCCGTTCCGGGGCACAAATAAAGCTGGCATGGGAGGCTGTGAGGGCTCTTCTAGGGACTTCCCTTGGACATCTTTCCGAGGCTCTTCATCAGGCTCGGCCCATGCCTCTCCCACAGGCTCTTCCCTCCAGCACCTCCTTGCTGACTCATGCACCGATCTCTCTGACGCGTCCCTCGGCCTTATCCTCGGCCGCCATGTGCGCCTGCGCCAGCTGTCGCTCTCCCATTGCGAGAGGCTCTCCCCGGACGCGATCTGCGTGCTGGCAGAGTCCTGTCCACGTTTAGAGGATCTCCATTTAAACGGATTACGGAGGGTTGACCAGGCTTGCCTTGCAGCCCTGGCACGCCACTGCCCGCGGCTATACAATCTCTCGCTCATTAACTGCCTCAGGTTTGAGGATCGGGGAGGCTTGGCGCTGCTTCAGCAGGTCCGGTATCTGTCCCTGTCAGGTTCGGACGTGTCCTGGCATCGGGCAGCTTCGGACGCGTCTTGGCATCGGGCAGCTTCGGACGTGGCTCGGCTGCCGAACATGCGAGCCGTGGACGTGTCACGTTCGGACATCTCACCCGAAGCTGTCAACTTAATTCTAGCATCTCCCTCCGTCCTCGTCGTTGCTGCTTTCAGCTGTCCTGAGCTGGAAACCTTTCACGAGGCCATCAAAATGCCAAGCAAGCCCTGTCTTTTGCTATTCCGGTACGGCGATCTTCGTCTGGCTCTCCTCGCTCTTGCCCTTTCCTGCAGCGACCCATCCTGCCTCTGGAGCTTCTACCAGCCTAAGAGACCAGCGGCACAGCCTGTGGCAGGCTCGGGAGCTGCCGAGCCTGGGGCTGAGGACGGGAATGGGAATGTCACTGGTAGCACGTCTGCCGCAGCAGCAACGGTGGCCTCTCCTACTGCAGGAACAGGAGTATCATCAACAGTGCCTTCTGTAGGCACACCAGCAGCAGCAGCTGCAACACCAGCAGCAGCAGCACCAGGAGTACCAGCAGCAGCAGCACCAGGAGTACCAGCAGCAACATCAGCAACAGCCACACGTCAGACTCCCTCTGGACGGCAAACCAGGTCTGCTACAGCTGCTGCTGCTGCTGCTGCTGCCGCCGCAGCTGCAGCTACAGCCCCAGCTGCTACTACAGCCGCCACCGCTGCTGCTACAGCCCCAGCTGCTGCTATAGGAGCCACCGCTGCTGCTGCCTCTGGAGTTAGAAGAGGTAGAGGTCGAGGAGGAGGGCGGGGAAGAGGGAGAGGGGGAGCAAGAGGAGCAGCAGATGAAGAAGCAGCAACAGAAGTAGCAGCACCAGCAGCAGGAGGAACAGCCGCAGCAGCACGAGCAGCAGCTACAACTGCAACAGCAACTGCAACAGCAACTGCAGTAGCAGCAGCAGCAGCAGCAGCAGCAGCAGCAGCAGCAGCAGCAGCAGCAAGGATGGCAGCGAGGGTGGAGGAAACCACTCACGCATCCATGTTCTCAGCCCCATCCGCAGACTGCGCTGCTGTTTCAGAAGAGAGTGCTGCTGCTTCGGAAGAGAGCCAGGTCAGAGCACTCGTGCTCCACATCACCAGGGCACTAGGCGGTGGTGGGCCCCGCAGTGCCTGCGTGGAGCTCTCTGATTGGACAGAGCTGATTCTGGTTCGAGCTCTTCACTCATTGGCCGAGAGGTTGGAGCCAATGGGGTGGGGAAGGGGGTGGGGGGGGAGGGGGAGGAGGAGGGGGAAGGGGGAGAGGGGGATTGGGAGGTGTTGTGGGGGGTTTAGGAGGAGAGAGGGGAGGGGGAGGAGGAGGAGGAGGAGGAGGAGGAGGAGGAGGAGGAGGAGGAGGAGGAGGAGGAGGAGGAGGAGGAGGAGGAGGAGGAGGAGGAGGTGGTGGTGGTTTAGGGAGAAGTTGGGAGGCAAGAGAGGACTTCTGGGTGACTCAGGGCATTCCGGCAGTGCTGCTGCTGCTGCAAAGCCGGCAGCAGGAAGTGCGAGAGAGAGCAGCAGCCACTGTGGGGGTGTTTGTTGTTGCTGACTCTATTGGGGCTGGATTCGAGGAGGAGGAGTTGGAGGGGGTGGAGGTGGAGGTGGAGGAAGAGGAGGGAGAGGTGGGAGCGGGGCAGGGTGGGAGAGGAGCAGGGGGAAGGGTGGGGGGAGGCGGTGGGATGGGGGCAGGGGAGTGGAGAGGAGCGGGAGGGGCCGGAGGAGGAGGAGAGGGGGGAGGGGAAGGAAGGGGATGGGCAGGGCGAGAGGGGGACAGGTGGGATATGGTGATGGGTGAGAGTGGGGGAGTGGGGGAGGGGGGAAGCAGTGGGCGGGTGAGTGCGTTTATGCGAGGCGGTGGAGTGGAGGTGCTGGTTCACATGGCAGGCCGGCACGGGCCTGAGGGGCCACGGTTCGAGGCGACTAAGGTGTGTGAGGAGGATGAGGGCTTGTATGTGGCAGTGAGGGTGGGTGTGACCGTGTGAATGGGGTTGTTGTACGGACATGCTGACAGTTACTAATCTAAACACCCTGTCAACCCACCCCGTCCCCTCCCTTTTCCCCCTCCACCTCCCCACACACCAGGCCCTGGCGAATCTGTCAGTGAGTGCAGACTTGGCAAGGGAGGTGGTGAGGGTGGGGGGAGTGGGCGTGCTGCTATCTCTCCTCGCTCACGCCAACGCCTGTATCGCCGAGGCTGCTGCAGGGGCGCTCTGGAACCTATCAGTAGATGAGTACAAGGTGGGTGGGTCATTGCAATGACTCGTGAGTTGACAGTGTCAACTTGACACGAAAGGTTAACACTTCTCGCTCACTCCAACTGCTGTATAGCCAAGGCTGCTGCAGGGGCGCTCTGGAACCTATCAGTCGATGAGTACAAGGTGGGTGCGTGGGTACGGACTCGTCTCAAGGGAGGTGGTGAGAGTGGGGGGAGTGGCCCGAGTGGGGTTGGCTGCTGCAGGGGCGCTCTGGAACCTATCAGTGGATGAATACAAGGTGGGTCGGTGTGGGTTTGATGTCTACCTTTCAGAAATTCCATAAGTGGTACATACAAGGTGCGTGTGTTTTAGGGTCGACTCAGAAGCCAACAGTTGCCCAGCTACTCGAAAGGTTCCCTTTTACCCCATCGCATCCCTTCCCCACATAACGTTCTAGACAGCTCTTCCTGCCTCCCCCCCTCTTTCTGCCCTTCCCTGTTCCCTTCAGGCATACATCATGCGGGCAGGGGGCATCGCCACACTGGTTGATCTCATGGCCACCTCGCCTCCTCCTGCTCTTGGCCTCCCAGGGGACTGTGTCCTCGTGAGTCCTCCTCTCTGCCTGCCCTCCTCCCCTCGTGCCTCTCTCTCTTCCCGCCCCTCCTCTCATGCCCACCGCTCCTCCTCTTGCTCTTGGCCTCCCAGGGGACTGTGTTCCCGTGAGTCCTCGCACCCTCCTCTCCTCCTATCCTCCGATCCTCCTCTCCAAGCCTCCTCTTCACCTTGTCGTCCTCTCTTTCTGTCTTTGCTTCTCTTGATGAATCTTTATTGACTCCTCCTCCCCTCGTGACCCTTCCCCCTCGTCCATTGTTTGGCGGTTTATATCATGCAATGTGTGTGTTCCAGGTTTGCCCCCTTCTGTCGTTTTGTCAATCCCTTTCGCTCTCTCCAACCTTCCCTTTTGGCTCCCCGTCACTGCTCTCCCTTCTCCCCCCGTCCCTTTCCTCCTCCCCTCTTTCCCACCCTTCTATGGTCACGAGCAGATGATAGCACTGGATAATGGTTGCAGCACAGCCATAATAGTGGCAAATTGTTCCTCCCGTGCTACTTCCTCCCCCCCTCTCCCCCCCTCTTTCAAATGGACAGGAGCAGGTTACAGGCGCCCTGGCGAATCTAGCAGTGGACGACGGGTGCAGCACGGCCATAGTGGCAATTTGTCCTTCCCTCGTTGCTACCTCCTCCCCTCCTCCCCCATCCTGCCTCTTGGACAGGAGCGAGTAACAGGCGCCCTGGCGAATCTAGCAGTGGATGACGGGTGCAGCACGGCCATAGTGGAGCGGGGAGGGGTGGCGGCGCTGGTGCGTGTGCTGGTGGGGTGCCAGCACGACCTCGTGCTTGAACAGGCCGCCAGGGCTCTCGCTAACCTTGCTGCTCACGGCGATTGCAACCGCAACTCTGCTGCTGTGGGGGCAGAACCCACTGCCGTCCCTGCGCTGGTGGCGCTGCTGCAATCCCCCAATGAAGCCTTAAGGTGGGTGGGGTGTGTGTGGTTGTAAGGAGAGTGCATGGAGGGGTGGTGGAGCTGGTGCGTGTGCTGGTGGGGTGCCAACACGACCTCGTGCTTGAACAGGCCGCCAGGGCTCTCGCTAACCTTGCTGCTCACGGCGATTGCAACCGCAACTCTGCTGCTGTGGGGGCAGAACCCACTGCCGTCCCTGCGCTGGTGGCGCTGCTGCAATCCCCCAATGAAGCCTTAAGGTGGGTGGGGTGTGACAGTAAGGGGAGCTGAGCTGCTGGTGGGGTGCCGCCGCGACCTCCTGCTTGAGCAGGCCGCCAGGGCCCCGAATGAAAGCATATGATGGGCGGGTGTGACAGAAAGGCGAACGCCGCAGCATTTAGAGCAGCAACTCCGTACTCCAAGTGAAGCGTTCCCTTCTTTCCTCTCTCTCCACTCCCCACTAATCTCCCCCGCTCAGCACAGGCAAGAGGGAGCAGGGGTGCCCTGGAATCTATCATTCCACGAGGGCAACAGGGTGGCCATCGCGGCAGCAAAAACTCCTTCTCTCCTCTCTCCTTGCCCCCATCGCCCCCTGCCATACGACGTGCAGGCAAGAGGGAGCAGGGGCGCTCTGGAATTTATCATTCCACGAGGGCAACAGGGAGGCAATCGCATCAGCGGGGGGCGTGGAGGCGCTGGTTCGCCTGGCCCAGGAGTCGTGCCTCCCCGGCGCAGCAGAGGACACACAGGAGCGAGCAGCCGGTGCCCTTTGGGGGCTGTCTGTGTCTGAAGCCAACAGGTGTGTGTCAAATACTGGGTTGTCTCTCACTAGAGCAGCAGGGTAGGGGAGTGGTAGAGGCGCTGGTTCGCCTGGCCCAGGAGTCGTGCCTCCCCGGAGCAGCAGAGGACACGCAGGAGCGAGCAGCTGGCGCCCAGTGGGGCCTCTCTGTGTCTGAAGCCAACAGGTGCGTCCATGGTGGTTGCATACCCCGCATCTGAGACCGAACCCCCTCCGTGCCTAAAGCCCTTGTCTAATAACGAAGCCCTGATTCCTCCCGTTGCCGTGGTGTTGTGTGCTGTGCGCCCATGCAGTGTGGCCATTGGTCGGGCGGGTGGGATGGAGACTCTGCTCAGCCTGGCCCAGTCTCGCAAGCAGGTGCGAGCAGTGCTGCATGGGGTGCGGGGTTGAGGGGGTGGCATGGGGTGAATGCAGAATGAGGGTAGTTGTGTGCGCCCATGCAGTGTGGCGTGAGGGGGCATGGGCATGCAGTGGGCATGATTGGGTAGCATGGCATGAGTGCAGCACGGGGACGCGTTGATTGCGGGTTTAGGGTTCTATGGATGAGTGGAGTGCAGCTTGTATGTACGGCGTTTTTCCACCAACACTGGGGGTTGTTTTCTCCACACCGCTGGTTCCCACACCTTTGTTCCCTTCCATGGTGTGCCATGTCCTTTCATTTGAACCATACTCCCCATTCTTTCCTTCCTTCCCCATCCTTCCCCGCTTCCCCCACAGGAGGTCCAAGAGACGGCCACCGGCGCACTCTGGAATCTAGCCTTTAATCCAAGCAACGCCGCCCGCATTCTTGTCAACAGTGGCGTACCCATCATGGGCGCAATCATTGCTGCCTCCCTGCCGCCCTCCGCCCTCTCCCACTTCTCCTCAGCCCCCCCCTCCCCCACTTGCTCCTACTCCCCTTCCTCAACATCCAATCCTAGAAGCACCACCACTGCCCACCCTACTCCATCTTCAACAACCCCTGCTGGTGCTCCCGGTGCTGCTGGTGGCCGTGCTGGTGGTGGTTCTGCTGCTGGTCGTGCTGGTTCTGCTGTTGCTACCATTGATGGCTTTGCCTGGCACGAGCTGCTGCCGCAGCCCCCCCCTCCTCCCCCTGCCCGCACACTCCCTCTCCATCCTGTTCTACCCAACAATCGCAACCTCCCTGCTGCTGACGCAGCAGCAGCGGCTGCCCTTCATGCTGTTGCTGCTGCCACTGCCGCCGGTGCCGGTGCTGCTGCGACTACTGCTGCAATCCGTGCTGCTGTTGCCGATGCCGATGCTGCTGCTACTGCCGCTGCTGCTCGTTCTCCTGCCGACGGTGTTGGTTGGAAATCGTCTCCCATGGCTGGATTCATGGCGTCTCTTGCTCTAGCATACATGTGTGATGGCAGGTAGGTTCTGAGTCAAAAACACCATGTGGGTTGGGTTGGGACGTATTTTCTCGTCTCCCATGGCTGGATTCATGGCGTCTCTTGCTCTAGCATACATGTGCGATGGCAGGTAGGTTCTGAGTCAAAAACACCACGTGGGTTGGGTTGGGACGTATTTTCTCGTCTCCCATGGCTGGATTTATGGTGTCTCTTGCTCTAGCATACATGTGCGATGGCAGGTAGGTTTTGATCGACTCAAAGCACGCGGCTTGGCGTGTGTTGACTGAATTGACTCAAAAGTCTCCCCTTCTATGGTTGAATACCTTTCCTCCTTGCATGCCCATATTATCATCCCTCCCCATCCCTGCTTGGCAGCATTACTGTTTGAGGCTCCTTTATGACCTCCTTTATTAATCTTCTTCCATCCCTGCTCCATTTTCTCCGTCTTGCAGCAAAGATGCAGAGATGGTGGCAGCGGCAGAAGCAGCAGTGCCTGGTCTAGAGTATCCCCTATCCTGCAGCTGCAGCAGCAGTGTGGTCTGCATGTCATTGAGTGGTTTCTGAGATGCTTCCCTTCCTACTCTGCTTCGTTTTCTGTTTTGCAGCAAAGATGCCGAAATGGTTTCAGTGCAGCGGCGGAGGCAGCAGCGCCTGAGCCAGAGTACCCGCAAAACCCTGCTTGCAGCAAAGCCGTTTGAGCCTCCTTAGCTGTTTGCTCAATCACTCACTTACCTCTCTCTCCTACCCTGCTTCATTCGCCGTCTTGCAGCAAAGAAGCAGAAATGGTGGCAGCGGCGGAAGCAGTGGCTTGGAGTACCCCCTAACCTTGCAGCAGTAGCTTGGTCTGCACGTTATTGACTGGTTCCTGAGATGACTCACCCCTGTGTCTACCCACCCCCCTGCTTCCATCTCCGTCTTGCAGCAAAGATGCCGAAATGTTGGCAGCGGCAGAAGCAGTGGTGCCTGATCTGGACTACCCCCTAACCTTGCAGCTGCAGCAGCAGCTTGGCCTGCACGTCATTGACTGGTTTCTGAGATGCTTCCTACACGAACGCGAGGAGGCAGAGCAGGCGAGGGAGAGAGTGAGGGAGAGGGAGCGGGAGAGGAGGAGGGCGATGCAGGAGGAGGGGGAAGGGGAGTTTTGGAGCAGAGGGAGCAGGCAGAGAGCGGGAGGGTCAAGAAAGAGGAGGGCTTCGGTGTTGGAGGTGGAGGAAGGGGAGGAAGAGGCGGAGGAGAATGAGGAGGATAGGTTGCCTGGAACAGCAGCAGCAACCAGAAGCCGACGGGCAAGGAGAGGGCGCGGGAGAGGGCGACGGAGAGAAACGATTGAATTAGACTCTGATGAGGAGGAAGAGGATGGTTTGGTGCTGGGTCGAGGGGCCACAGGCTCGGCCACACCTGGCTCTGCGGCTCGGAACAGCCGCACCTGCACTTTCACCTCCCCTGCTCCTGGGCCGTCCAACGCTTCAGGTGTTTCTTCAGGTGCTGGTTCAGGTGATCTGCCACCGCCCATGTCGGCGGGATTCACGCGGCACCTGGGAGCACGGCTGGCAGCAGCAGATGATGCTGCACTGATGGAGTTCTCCCAGAACTGCCGCATTCAGGAGGCGGGTCTGCTCAGATGCAGGTGAGAGATGTGCTATGGGGTGAGTGTTGTGGTACAGGGTGGGCAGGGCTTCTGCTTTCTGCTTCTGAGTCGATTCAAAGGTCCACTCCACTCATCTCCCCTTCCTTTCCCACTCCCCCTCCCTCAGTGCGGCCGAGATTGCTCGCTTCGTCGCCATGCTGCGAAGCACCTCCCCCTCGCTGCGCGCATGTGCAGCCTTTGCTCTCCTGCAACTCACCATGCCCGACGCCCGCCACACCACCCACCACATCAACCTCCTCTCCGACACCGGAGCTTCACGTACAATTCGCGCCACCGCTGCTGCTGCCACGTGCCCTCCGCTGGTCAGGCTGCTGGCTCGGGCGCTAGCGAGAAATCTCGATTTGCATTCGCGAGAGGAAGCCAAGGGGAAAAGGCTGCGCCTGTGATCTTTGGGAGTCTTGAAACCCACCACTGCTGCCTCCACGTGCCCTCCGCTGGTCAGGCTGCTGGCTCGGGCGCTAGCGAGAAATCTCGATTTGCATTCGCGAGAGGAAGCCAAGGGGAAAAGGCTGCGCCTGTTATCTTTGGGAGTCTTGAAACCCACCACTGCTGCCACCACGTGCCCTCCGCTGGTCAGGCTGCTGGCTCGGGCACTAGCGAGAAATCTCGATTTGCATTCGCGGATGGAAGCCAAGGGGAAAAGGATTCTCAAAATCCACCACTGCTGCCGCCACGTGCCCTCCTATGGTCAGGCTGCAGGCTCGGGCTTTTTTGAGGAATTATGTGTGGATGGAAGCCAAGGGGAAAAGGCTGCGCTTAAGGGTTTAGCAAGGGCTTGGTTTGTAGATATGGGTTGATATATTTGTTTTGGATTTTGGGTTTGAGAGTGAAAGATGACATGATGACTGTAATTTCGTTTAAAGCTGCGGTCTACATACGAAAATGTATTTTCGGAGGGTATTTCGGGTGCACACCCTAGGACGCATGCTGATTGGGGAACGAAATGACTCTTTTCCAGAAATGAGCGCGCGAATGTTTCAAACAGAGCTGGCGAATCCCGCCAGTTTCGTGAAAGGTTCGGTTGGGGGGTAATTATTTCGGGAGGATTGGGTTGTGTTGGCGATTTCGCCAACACGTGCAACCAATCCGAGTTGGGGAGCAGATTAGAAGCCAATCCTGTTTCACCCAATTTCCAGAGGAAAGGTTGTGCTGTCAAGGTGCAGTAACTCCACCTCGCCACTCAAGGTTGGAGCGAAGCTCAGTGCAACCGTGTTTTCAAGTGATAAACCTAGGCCTCCCGCAGGAGGTATGTAGGCGACAGCTTTAACCTGCAGGTAGCATGACTGTAATTTTCTTCATGTAGCAATGCCAACTTTGCCGATTACGTCAAAGAACCCATGTGGGGGGAATTGACGTAGGCGGTCAATGTCAACGCTTTGGTGGCCGAAGTCAACTCTATACTTACTCGATAACAACTTCTTCGTAGCAAGCTTGAAAATTTCACAGATCAAATCCCAATAGGCATGCTCAGCGGTCTACACTACTGGCTCCTGCACCCGCAGGGCTGCAGGTGCCCTGGTCACCGTAGTCCAGACTCCAGACCAGAGTTCCCAAGGTTGGTGCTGGCTGGTCTGGAGTTCCCAAGGCACAAAAAGCAGCATCAGGCTGATGATGGCAATTTGATTAGTGCGCAGTCTGCTGGATGCCATTCTCGCCTACGTGTTTCGAATAGCAGCCATTACTGGCGTCAGGGAGGGTCAACCGTAAAATAATTTACTAGATAGCTGCCTTTTCACCATTCGCCAGAGTTAATTTCTTTTGACGGAGGCGTTAGCGGGCGAAGACGCTCGTCTTGCTGGTGCTGCTGGTCCGCAACGTGTCGAGTCGTGAGACATTTTCATTATGCCGGAGTTTTACCTTTTAGCTTCACAGTCCGCGCGTAGCTGATGTCTCTCTAGTTACCATGGCGTTGCCGCAGTGGCGGCGCCTCCACTCATCGGCTCGTTAACGTCAGGCAGACTCGTAACTCGATGGTAGCATGGCGGCGACTTGGTTAGCTTCGTGCGAAAGTCAGTACCTTGTACTCAGAATTTCGAGTTTTAGGTTTCTTTCCGTTATTGTAAAAACTCTTTAATTCCATTTCTCGGTTTCCCGACCTTCGGCCAGCGAATATTCACCAGCGCTAGAATTAGGTTTAATTTACCACAGGACAAGACATTAATTGTTTTACCGCAGGATACACGTCTAGCCCTTCGCGTTCCAGCTCCAGGTCCGGTGTGCCACCCACGATTAGGGTTTCCTCGATTAATTGCGAACCGCCGCTGAGCGCTACGTACTATTGGTTTGTATCGCGTCTCGAGGCTCTCTCATCCCGCGGGCATTCGGCGTGGCAGTGAGTCGGCAAGATGAATTTCTCGCACGACAAGTTCGACGCGGAGAAGTATGTGGACGACCAGATGCAGATCATGGACGAGCGGGTACGTGGCATGAGCATGAGCTCCACTTTCCCTCCCCGCTCTCCCCGCCTGCTCTAATTATACAGCCTTATTCCCATCTTCCTTGTTCATCTCCCCGCATCCCTCCTTATTCCCTTCCCTGCATCTACCCGTGCTCCCATCCCTGCCTTCTCCCGTGCGCCCCCCCTCCTCCCCTGCGCCTCCCAGGGCGTGCGGCTGCTGGTGGGGGACCTGGCGGACTACCGGCGGGTGTCGGCGGACGAGATGCGCAAGAGCGTGTTCGCCAACTACACGGCGTTCATCGGCACGTCCAAGGAGATCGCGGAGCTGGAAGTCGAGCTGCAGCAGATGAAGAACCTCCTGTCCGTGCAGACCGCACTCATCCACTCCCTCGCCGCGGATAGCATGAACAATGATAACAGTAATAGCGCTTCCGCGGGTGGGGGTGGTGGGGGTTCGACTCCTGCGTCTACCACTTCGTCGGTTACCACCGCTGGTACTTCGTCTACCTTCGCCGGTGCTTCGTCATACGCGTCCTCGTTAGCCACCCCGCAGCAGGACGAGGAAGAGGACGAGCGGATTTGGAGCGTGGAGGTCCCCGAGCCCACCGAGATTGAGAAATATGCGGAGGCGCTCCCGGATATACTGGATATTCTTATAGCGGAGCGGAAGGTCGACCGCGCTATAGAGCTGCTGGAGCAAGGGCAGCAGATTGTGCAGCTGGCGCTGGCGACAGCAGGGGACGGGGCGGGCGGGGGCGCAGGCGGGGGGAAAGGGGGCGGGGGGCACGGTGGGGGCGGGGAGGACGAGGAGATCCTGAGCGCGGACGCGGCGAACGCGCTGGCGGCGGCGATCGCGGAGAGGCGCGCGTGGCTGATGGCACAGCTGGAGGAGACGGCGCAGCAGGCGGCTGTGCGCGGGCAGGAGCTGCGGCAGGCCGTGGGCGCGCTGTACCGCCTGGGGGAGACCGAGCGCGCGCACCAGCTGCTGCTGGGCGCGTACGGGGAGCGGATTAGGAGCGGATCCCGCCTGCTGCGCCCCCGCGGGACCAGCTTTGGCGGCGCGTACACTGCTGCCCTGGCGCAGGTGAGTGCGTGGGGAGAGGGAGCGTGGGAAGGGGGAGGCCGTGGTGGAGGGAAGGGCGTGGTGGAGGGGAGGGCGTGGTGGTGGGAACACGGGGGTGAAGGTCCTGGAATGGTCACGGGTGGGTGACTTAACGTGTCTCTCCCTCGTCCCCATTCCCCTTTCCCGATTGCTTCCCCCACTTTTCTCCCCAGGCGGTGACAGCTCACAGCATTTTGTGAGGTCTTGCATCAATTTTCTCACCTCTTCCCCTCCATCCCTCCTCTCCGACCCCCCCCCTTCCCTCCCTCCCCACCTCCCCCCTCCCCTTCCATACCCCCAGCTGGTGTTCTCGCCCCAGACCCCATTTCCGCTCTCCCCCAACCCCCCAATCCCTCCCTCCCCCCACTACCCCCCCAGCTGGTGTTTTCGGCCATCTCCCAGGCGGCCACTGACTCGGCGCGCATATTCGCGTCGGACCCAGCATGCGCGGCGGACCTGCTGCTGTGGGCGCAGAGGGAGACGGAGTTCTGTGTGTCGCTGCTCAAGCGCCACGTGCTCTCGTCTGCTGCTGCTGCCGGCGGGCTGCATGCCGCTGCTGAATGCGTGCGCATCGCTCTTGGTCACTGCAGGTGGGTGGGTGGGTGGGTGGGAAGTGGGTGCGTGTACTGCAGGAGGTGGGTGGATGCTTGGTCACTGCAGGTGGGTGCTTCTCACACACATTGCTCAAGCGCCACGTCCTCTCCCGTGCTGCTGCTACTGCTGCTGGCGGGCTGCACGCTGCTGCTGCTGGCGGGCTGCACGCTGCTGCTGAATGCATGCGCATTGCTCTGGTCCACTGCAGGTGGGTGGGTGCTGGGATGGGACGGTGCAGGTGGGTGGCAGGTGGGTGGCAGGTGGGTGGCAGGTGGGTGGCTGGTGGCTAGCATGTGGGTGGGTGCTGCGTGCGCCCCTGTGTTGGCAGTTGGAGCTTCATGCGTGCATTGCCCGTGGGCACGGCAGGTGGTTACAGTTGGGTGGGGAATTGGTTGGACCCATGTGGGTGCGTGGGGCTCAAGCGCTCCGTTCGACTCCCTTTGGAACCCCTCTCCTTCAGGTTATTGGAGGAGCAGGGGCCAACGCTCTCTCTCCCCAGTGCTCTCCAAGCTGGTGCGCCCCAGTGTGGGGGTGGCCCTCGAGTTCAACATCATCCGCATAGAGGACCTTGTCGCTACCATGGTGGCCGTGGACGATTGGGTGCTGTCCCCCATGTTGACCACTGGCTGCTGCTGTCCCTCCCCCATGCCATGCTGACCCCTGTGCCGTGCTGCCGCTTCCCCTGCACCCCCTCCCCTGGAGGCTACCGGAAGAGCAAGGACTTACACTCTCCCCTGTGCTGTCAAAACTCGTCCGACCAAGTGTGGAGGAGGCGTTGGAGTTCAACATCATCCGCATAGAGGACTCGGTGGCCACCATGGTGGCTGTGGATGACTGGGTGCTGCTGCCCCCCATACCGTGCTGACCCCTGTGCCGTGCTGCCCCTCCCCTCCCAACTCCTCCCCTGCAGACTATTGGAAGAGCAGGGTCTGACCCTGTCTCCAGTGCTCTCCAAGCTGGTGCGCCCCAGTGTGGAGGAGGCGTTGGAGTTCAACATCATCCGCATAGAGGACTCGGTGGCCACCATGGTGGCCGTGGACGACTGGGTGCTGCTGCCTCTGCCCCACGGCGCTGCTGCCACGGGCAGGGTGCGAGCGCTGCAGCAGACGCTGGGGCCGGGGTTGATGCACCTGAGGCTGTCCAGCAGCGGCCAGAGGTTCTACCTGTTGCTCGTGGTGAGTGCTGGGGACGTGTATGGATGGAATTAGGAGGAGGTGTGGGTTTGATGTGTGTGGTCTGTGTATGAGCTTGCCAAAGAAAGGGCTGCTGCCGCTGGCAGGGTGCGCGCGCTGCAGCAGACGCTAGGCCAGCCCCTTTACCTCTTGCGCGTAGTGAGTGGTGGTGGGTGGGTACGGAGGGTGAATTGGGTTTTACCACTTAACCTCCCTCTTCGAGTCCTGCGTCGCCCTGCTGCAGCAGGCCCTGTCCTCGATCCTCACTTTACCCCTCACCCATCCCACCCTTCCAAACCCCCCGCCACACATCAGAATCTAGTGGAGGTCGTATTGCCAGTGATCAGCCTGCAGCTTTTTGGCCGCATTCTCAACCGCCTAGCCTCGCTCTTGGAATCATACGTCGCCCTGCCTGCTGCAGAAGGCCCTCCCGTCGCCCTCTGTGTCTCAAAGATACTCCCTTCCACCCCCCCCATTCCCTCCTTACACACCAGGACCTAGTGAAGGATATCCTACCAGTGATCAGCCTGCAGCTGTTTGGCCGCATCCTGGACCGCCTGGCGTCCCTCTTCGAGTCCTACGTCGCCCTCCTGCGAAAGGGCCTGCTCTTTCCCCTCATTCCACCCTCCACCCACCCAATCCCACCCCATCCCTCCCCGCCGCACATCAGGATCTGGTGGAGGACATATTACCAGTGATCAGCCTGCAGCTGTTTGGTCGCATTCTCGACCGCCTGGCATCCCTCTTCGAGTCCTACGTCGCCCTCCTGCAAAAGGCCCTCCCCTCGCCCTCCGACGACGATGAGGAGGAGGACGAGGGGAACGGGGGGGAAGGAGGCAAGGGCGGGGAGAAGGGAGGGGAGAAGGAGAACGGGGAGGAGCCGTGGCAGGACGGCAGTGTGCGGACGGCGGAGGACGAGCAGCAGCAGCTGGCGCTGCTGGGGAATGCGTCGGCTCTCGCGGATGATCTGCTGCCGAGGCTGGCTCAGCGGCTCACGCTGGCTGCTGGGGAGGAAGGCGGCGGGGGCGGGGGGCGAGGGGGGAGGAAGCAGGGCGGGGCGGATCCAGACAGGAGGCTGTCTGCTGGCGGACGGTACGTTCTCTCCCTTGCTCTTAATGCTCTCAATTCTCTTTCTCTTTTTGGCTCTGGGTCCCCTCTGTTGTCTCGTCCTGCTGTGTTGACCGTGGGAGTGGAATCTCCCTTGGACCAGCCAAACCCCAAAGCCACGGATTTGTTCCTTTCCTACAGCCATCTGAATGCACCAAGCCATACAACTCTTGGTAACATGGCAGCGCATAGGCAGTGGCGCCACGGGCTCACTGTTGAGTCGACTCACGAGTCCCCGCCTTCCCACTCCCTCTCCCTCGTCGTCCCTTCCCCCCTCCCCGTCTCTCCCTGTGGCAGCAACATGGCGGAGCACAAGGAGTGGTGGCGGCAGCGGCTACAGAACGCGGTGGATAAGCGGAGGGACGCGCTGTGCTCGTGCCTCGCGGGTGGGGCCCTCAACTCCAGCCACAACCACCCCCCATTCCCTCTCCCACCTCTCCTTCCCCTGTCCCCCCGTCTCTCCCTGTGGCAGCAACGCGGCGGAGCACAAGGAGTGGCGGAGCACAAGGAGTGGCGGAGGCGGCTACAGAAGGCGGTGGACAAGCTGAGGGACGTGCTGTGCTCCAATGTTTGTGGGTGGGGCCCTCAACCGCACCCCCACCCAACCACCCCCCATTCCCTCTCCCACCTCCCCACCCCGTTCCCCCTCATTCCCACGTTCCCCCCTCCCCCTCCCCTCTCCACTCTCTCGACCGGGGCACCCCCCCGCTTCCCTCCCCCTACCCCTTTCCCATCTCTCGCAGCAACGCGGCAGAGCACAAGGAGTGGCGGAGGCGGCTACAGAAGGCGGTGGACAAGCTGAGGGACGTGCTGTGCTCGTGCCTCGTGGCGGAGTTCATGTACGGCCACGACGGCCAGCCCATCCTCACTGCGCACCAGTACCTGCACATGGACGCCAAGATGCGCCCCACCCAGTGGGCTCTCAAGCCCCTGCCCTCGCCTCCCTTCCAGGTAAGCGTGTGGTGTCCAGGCCAGTGGGTGTTAGTCAGGTCAGCGTTTGCCAGCCCATCCTCACCGCACACCAGTACCTTCACATGGACGCCAAGATGCGCCCCACGCAGTGGGCGCTCAAGCCCCTCCCCTCGCCGCCCTTCCAGGTCAGCATCTGCTCTGTCCAGGTCAGCATTAGGCTAGCCATCCAGGACTTTGCTAACACGCATATCTCACTGCCCTCTTCATGGCTCTGCACTTAATCCACCCAACTCATCCGCCACAAATGTACTGGGATGGGTTGCGAGGGCGTGACCGCGTGGTGACGCTTCTGCATGCTGCCTGGTGCTGCTATTATGTGCCCACCCCCTACCTAACACGCACCTTTATCTGTTTCATCATCCCATGTTCCCATCCCCCCCAGGCGCTGTACATGGCGTTGCACTCCATTCGTTCAACCGCCATGTATTTGTGGGAGGGCGCGGTGCTGGGAGGGCGCGACCGCGTGGTGATTCTTCTGCCTGGTGCTGCTATCAAACATACACTTCCTCCCCTCCCCTCCCCACCAACATCCCCTCTCTCTCCCCTCCTCCCTAGGCGCTGTACATGGCACTGCACTCCATCCATTCCACCGCCACGTACGTGCTGGGAGGGCGCGACCGCGTGGTCACTCTGCTACTCATGCGCCTCGCAGAGTGGCTGATGATGGGCCTCATGGTCTACAGCTCCTTCTGGGACGAGCTGGAGAACGCTGAATACGCTCTCGGCCCCACGGGCCTGCAGCAGGTGTGTTAGTTCGAAAGTCAGTTGGGGTAGGTGCGTGCCTCGCGGAGTGGCTCACGATGGGCCCCTTATGGTCTGCAGCTCCTTCTGGGACGAGCTGGAGAACGCTGAATATGCTCTGGGGCCGAGGGCTGCAGCAGGTGCGCCTTTGTGTGTGACTGTTATCGCTTCAGGAGGGTTGTGGGGGAGGTCGCAGGTGCCAGCCTCGCCGAGTGGCTCATGATGGGCCTCATGGTCTACAGCTCCTTCTGGGAAGAGCTCGAAAACGCTGAATACGCCCTCGGGCCTACAGGCTTGCAGCAGGTGCGTCACTTGTGTCATGTTGTGTGCAGGGATGGGGTGATGGGTGGGCGAGAGGGAGAGCATCGGTGGTGCATGAGGAGGATAGAAGAGTGGGTAGTGGAGGTGGCTCACTCGCGCAGTGGCTGATGCTAGGGTCATGGCGTGCAGCCACATACGGCATGGATATCCGTGTGTTTATGTGGGCATCAGGAGCAGGGGCCAAGGCGGAGTTCCTTTCCTCCGGAGTATGTGCGAATGAAGCCGAACCCACTCATTTTCTTGCTGCCTGCTTTTCTCCTCTCCCCACACCACCTCCCGTCCCCCCACCAGCCGGTGTTTGACATGTATTTTGTGATGCAGGTGGCCAAGGCGGGCTAGTAATCCTCCCGGGCCATACAGGCAATGCACACATTTGAACCCAAACACTCACTCTCCCTCTCCTGTCCCTTCATTCCCCTCTTCCCCCACACGCCCCTGTTTCTCCCACTCTACAATTGGTGCTCGGCATGTACAAGCCAAGGTGCCTTCTGATTGATCTGTCTTCCCTTTCTCCGCTCTGCCCCATCTCCCCCCTCCCCCCGCCCTCCAACGCCCCTCCCCCCTTTCTCCAACCTCCAGCTGGTGTTTGACATGCATTTCGTGATGCAGGTGGCCAAGGCAGGCAAGTACTCCTCCCTGGCCATGCGCACTTTGGTCACCCTCTCTAACCTATCTCTTTCTTCCCCCCTTCCCCCACCGCTTCTCCCCTCCTCCAGCTGGTGTTTGACATGTATTTCGTGATGCAGGTGGCCAAGGCAGGCAAGTACTCCTCCCGGGCCATGCGCAAGGTGGCAGAGGACAGCGCCACCAAGGCCATCGTATTGTTCACAGATCAAACGGGAGGGGATCCCAACAGGTGCGTGTGTGTTGCCATCAATCCAAGCACTCCGCACTGGTGTGTGGTAAGTGCAGGGAGGGCAGGGCCATGCGCAAGGTGGCAGAGGACAGCGCAACCAAGGCCATTTGTGCTCTTCACTGATCAGACCGGAGGCGACCCCAACAGGTGAGGGCTTGGGTTTGGACAGATGCTCTGTGTTCATCCTGTTGGTGCATTTGTGTTTTCCTGGCAAAGCCATTAGGTGCCTCCCTCCCTTCCCCCCCTGCCCCTGCCCATCCCCTCCCCCCCTTCCCCCATCTCCCTTCCTCCTTGCCTCTCTATCTTGTGCAGTCTCCTACAGGAGGACTAGTGGTACGAGCGGCAATAGAGGAGCTCGCAGCAGCAGCAGCAGCGGCTTGTCTTGCTCACATCACTCTCTCCCACCCCAACGTCAACCATTCTTTACATTTCCTCCCGGTCCTTCTGCACCCTCACAGTCTCCTACAGGAGGATTGGTGGTACGAGCGCAAGTGCGTGGAGGCTATAGAGTAACAGGCAGCAGCAGCAGTGGCATCACTGGCTCACTACACTCGCTTACTTTCTTCTCCTCTCTATTCGATACAGACTGTTGGAGGACTGGTGGTACGAGCACAAGTGTGTGGAGGCTATAGAGGAGCTCGCAGCACCCGCTCTCCCATACATGCATTTCTGTCCCCCCCCTTCCTGGCCCCTCTCCTCCATTCTCCCCTTCTCCTTCTCCCCAGTCTTTTGCAGGAGGACTGGTGGTACGAGCACAAGTGCGTAGAGGCGATAGAGGAGCTCGCAGCAGCAGCAGTGGCTTCACTTGCTCGCAACACTCTACCCCCCCACCCCCCCCCTGTCACCCGTCTCTACTGTTTCCTGCCTACGCTTCCTTCATCCGTGCCCTCACAGTCTCCTACAGGAGGACTGGTGGTACGAGCACAAGTGTGTGGAGGCAATAGAGGAGCTCGCAGCAACAGCAGCAGTGGTCTTGCTTGCTTACATGACTCTCCTACCTGATTCCCCAATCTATCCTGTGCAGTCTCCTGCAGGAGGACTGGTGGTACGAGCACAAGTGTGTGGAGGCAATAGAGGAGCTCGCAGCAGCAGCCAGCCCAGCAGCGTCCCCGTCAGACTCGCCCAGCCGCCACCGCCGCTCCTTCTCCCAAGAGGACCCTGATGACCCACTCGCCGCCGCCTCCTCTGCCGCTCCTGCTGCTGCCAGTCCTGCTGCTCCTGCTGGTGCTGGTGCTGCTGGTGGTTCTACAACTGCTGCTGCCTTGTCTCCAACAATACCAGCTCTGCAGCAGCAGGGGGATGCGGGGTTATCCCAACAGCAGCAGGGTCCGGGGAGAAGTGGGTTGGATGAGGAGAGGAGATCAGCAGCAAAGGGACAGTATGATATGTATGATGATGATGGGGGGGGTAGGAGTGCAAGACCAGGGGGGAGGGGAGCTGCGAGTCGGAGCCCTACGAGTGAATCAGCAGGAAGGGGGGCGCGGAACAGAGGGTTTTCAGATGATGATTATGGGAGTGGTGGCGGCAGGAGTGAGTATTCGAGCCGAGATAGGGGGGATGGGAGGGAGTACGGGAGGGATTATGGGAGGGAGAGGGATAGTGGCGGGAGCAGGGAATATGGGAGGGAGAGGGATGGTGCAGGCGGGTGGGAATATGGGAGGGATGGCGGAGGGAGGGATTATAGGGAGAGTGGTGGGAGAGATTATGGGAGGGAGAGAGATGGATCGTATCGAGACAGAGATGTATCGTATAGGGAGAGAGATAGGGATGGGTATGGGCGGGATGAGAGAGGTTACGGGGGACGACAACCGCAGAGGCGATGAGGGTATTGATGTGAGAGAGGAGGAAAGAGGAGGATAGTGATGTGAGAGGAGTCTGATGGACAAGGGTTGGGATTCGGAGGATGAGGGAGGTAGCTGTTGTGACATGAGGAATGTGTGCCTCACTCGAGGAGAAAGGAAAGGTTCTGTGGGGATGGGTGTCTGCAATGAGACGTAAGCAGGAGGCAGTTCTGGAACAGGGCTGGGACAGGACCGGGACAGGTCTGCTACAGGTATGGGGCAGGTTTGGGGCCGGTTTTGGTGCCGGTGGCAATCTTGTCTCGTGGCCTCTCGCCCGCTTCTTTTTATCCGGTTGTTTTGGTGGAGTGAGTACTGGTCAAGGAGGGGAGGCCTCCCGTCACGAGCCCTCAGTGCGCAGGAAAGGAAACAATGGGATGGCATGAGAATGAGGCTGTAGCAGAGGTGGAATGATTGATTTAAAATATCCTATTACAGAGGTCTCTTCACATGCTACTCTTTGCTAGGGAAGGGTTGCAGAAGGGCCTGGGCTGGAGCAGGGAAATATGCTTATGGAAAATGCTTGTCGTATGTAGCAGCATTGAGAAAAGGGGCTGGTGAAGCCTGAAATTATGCTTAACGTAGGTGGTCTAGTTCGAATGTGTTTCTTATGGAAACTAGTGATTAAGCACTCGTGTAACTCCTATGTTTTATGGAATATTAGCGCCGGCGTAATCCTCGTTGCAAGCCCGTCTACGCGCCCCCCTGCGACTTCGCTCCGAGAACGGCAACAAGTATCGCGATTTCGAGTTCTCCGACGAGTCCTCCTGGTCCCTCCCTGGGACAAGGGTTGTGCATTGCGGCGAAGCCGTTACTACGCTATCTTTTCTTTCGCTGATTCCGGCTTCATCCCAGCGGGTCCGTTGTAGTCGTGACAACATAGCAGCTTATATAGGCAATTCTCGACGCGCGCGTGAGCCCCAGGATTACTCGAAACGAGGCGTGCTACTAGGTAGAATGGGAAGCGCGGGAAAATTTAGAAGCGGCCGCGCAGCCATGGCGTCGGTAACTTCCTCGAAGGCAGGCAGACAAGGGAAGAAGAAGGCGGGAACTGCACCCAACAGGGGTGAACCGAACTCAACCGAGCATCCAGCAACGCTGGCTACAGAGCGTGGCGATGATGCCGCAAGTGCTGGTTTAGCAGTTGAAGCCGCAGCGGTCGCAGACGTGACGGCAGCAGACCCTAACTCGGCGACCCTCGATGCGACGCCTGCGAAGGAGTCGCAGCCGTCGCCGGCTGGAGACAAGCGAAAACGAGGAGCCGGTGACGACATCGACGCGATTTTTAACCAGGCGAAGCAGAGCAAGCAGCAAGCGACGGCGGGCAGCGGGCAGGAAGGAACAAAAGGCAAAGGAAACTTGAAAGACCAGGGCAACGACAAACTTCCCGCGATGAAAAAAGGGAAAAAGAAAGAAAAAGGCAGTGGAAGTGGCTTGGACGCAGAAATCAAGCCGAGGAAGCGGACGGAGGAGGGGTATCGGGTTTACAAGGAGGACGAGCTAGGGTGGAACAAGAAGAGCGCTGGCGGCACCGCGCTGTGCCCCTTCGACTGCGACTGCTGCTTCTGAGCGTGGTTTGAAGCGCGCAGAGAGACGCCGGAGGAAGCCGAAGCAGGAAGGGGTACATGGTTTAGAAGGAGGGGGGTTCAGGGTTTCGGTTACATTAGGGTTTAGGTCAGGGTTTAGAAGGGTTTAGGAGGGGGGGGTATAGGATTTACAATGAGGAGCAGCTATGGTTGAACAAGAAGAGCGCTGGAGGCACTGCGCTGTGCTCCTTCGACTGCGCTTCTGAGCCTGGCTTGAGGGGTTTGGTTCGACGCACTCAGAGAAATGCCTGAGAAATGCCCGAAGCAGGAAGGGGGTACAGAGGTTTCAAGGAGGCGGGGTTTACACGGAGGAGGGGTGTAGGGTCTACAAAGAGGAGAGGTGTAAGGTTTACAAGGAGGAGGGGTGGAGGGTTTACAAAGAAAAGGAGTGTAGGGTTCACAAAGAGGAGGTGTGTAAGACTTACAAGGAGGGGTGTGGGGTTTACAAGGAGTGGTGTAGGGTTTGCAAAGGGGAGGGGTGAGGGTGGAACAAGAGGACCGCTGGCGGCACCACGTTGTGTGGCTGCTTCGATTGTGACTGCTGCTCCTGAGCCTGGTTTGAAACCTTACGTTTCAAGGCTCATAGAAGCTCTCTATCTGGAAAATCATAGTGGGCTTAAGCTTCTCAAATCCAAACCCAGGGATTTCATAAGATCTAACTGCGTAGAATAGCATCACAAGCCCAGGAGCGAAAGCAGGAGGGGTACAGGGAATATGAAGAGACATTATAACTAACTTTACTGTTGCGGTTCGATACAGTGCGACTCGGGCAACTGCTCAATGTCGAGTCAGTTGTTTGTCCTTGCTGTCGCGCTGCGTCAAGTCAAAGGTCGCTGCCCTTTGACTGTCCCGTAACCTCCGACGGTTACGTTAACCTCGCTGGTTGACTCGCGCTGCTTCGACTTGAGCTGCTTCGTTTTGTGTCTTGAGTACTGACACGACAGAGGCGCTTAACTTATTTGTTCCCAACACTCCCCTTCGCTTCTGGAGTGTCGCTGATGGTGACGTGGCTTTGTCCAGTCAGCAGCATGCAGTACTCGAATTTCTGTTTTCCAAGTTTCTTGGTCAAGTAGTCGGCTGCCATCTCGGACGTGGGACAGTAGGATAGATCAAGTTTCCCTTTCTCGATTTCGTCTTTCACGAAGAAGTATCGCAGGGCGATGTGCTTCGTTCTGTTTGCGAATCCGCTCTTGTTGGCGATGCGAATTGCGGATTGGTTGTCGCAGAACAAGGTGAAGTTGGGTAACTCGGCTAACTTTGCTTCTTCCAGCAGCTCGCGAAGGTAGAGTCCTTCCTTGGTGGCTGAGCAAAGGGCGATATATTCTGCTTCAGCTGAGGAGAGCGCAATTAGTTCCTGCTTGCTCGATTGCCAGGAAATAGGTCCGATAGGTTCTAGGCGATAGATGTAGCCAGTGCGAGAGCGCCTGTTATCTGAGTCGCCGGCGTGATCGGCATCGACATAGCCGATTAGTTTCGTCGGCGTAGTTGTGTCTTTGTAGTACGTCAGGCCGATCGTTGCGGTGCTCACGAAGTAGTGAAGAGCACGATCGAGAACTGCTAGGTGTTCTGCTTCGAGCCTCTTGAGATAGGTAGCGAGTTGGCTAGCGGAGTAGGACAGGTCTAGGCAGCAGGTGACGGCTGCGAAGAGCAGACAGCCCAGTTTTCGCTGATAGTCGCGTATTCCGGCGGTCTTAAGTAGGACGGAGCTTCCTTTGCCGTTTCCTGCCGTGTAGCGGTATGGCGTGTGGATAGTAACAGGTGTCAGTGCGAACCGTTTGGCGATGGTGTCGGCGTACTTCTCGGCGCTGAGATAGATCGCATTTTCTTATTCGCGAATGTTGAGCCCGAGATACTGAGTGACGGTAGTGGAGACCGTGAGTGTGAGGTGTCAGAACATTATAGCTTACTTATTTGTGTAGGCTATAGTGGGGTATCCCATAGGGGGTACAACCCAATTAGGGTTTCATATTTGTACTCACTTCATTCTAGTTCATTTCATTCTCGTTCTTTCTTTCTCATGGAATCAGAGCAGGTTCCCTCCTAGGGACTGCTTCTAGGGCCCACCGAAGCGCGCCCCGAGGCGCGTTTTCCTTTTTTTTTAGCGACCCGTTGTGTCGCCCCCAGCGGCCCGTCGCGCCGCCCTTCCCTTAGCGGCCCCGCCGCCCTTCGATCGCGGCTCCGCCGCGCTTCCCTAGCGGCCCCGCCGCCCTTCGATCGCGGCCCCGCCGCCCTTCGAATGCGGCTCCGCCGCCCTTCCTTAGCGGCCCCGCCGCCCTCTGCTAAGCGGCCCCGCCGCCCTTCGATCGCGGCCCCGCCGCCCTCTGCTAAGCGGCCCCGCCGCCCTTCGATCGCGGCCCCGCCGCCCTCTGCTAAGCGGCCCCGCCGCCCTTCGATCGCGGCCCCGCCGCCCTTCGATCGCGGCCCCGCCGCCCTCTGCTAAGCGGCCCCGCCGCCTTGCTCACGCGGCCCTGCCGCCCTCTGCTACGCGGCCTCGCCGCCGCGTCGCCCGTGCACCTGCCCGTGCACCCACCCGTGCACCTGCCCGTGCACCCACCCGCGCACCTACCCGTACGGCCGCCAGTGCAGCCGCCCGTGCCCAGCCGCCCGTGCAGCCGCCCGCGAGCCGTCCCAGCCGCCCGTGCGGCCGCTCGTGAGTCGCCCGCGAGACGCCCGCGCCGCCCGAGCCGCCCGAGCCGCCCGAGCCGCCCGCGAAACGCCCACGCCGCCCGAGCCGCCCGAGCAGCCCGTGAGACGCCCGCGCCGCCCGAGCCGCCCGAGTCGCCCGCGAGACGCCAGCGCCGCCCGAGCCGCCCGAGCCGCCCGCGAGACGCCCGCGCCGCCCGAGCCGCCCGAGCCGCCCGAGCCGCCCGAGCCGCCCGTGCCGCCCCAGCCGCCCGAGGAGCCGATCTTCTGCTCCTTTGGGGCTCCTACTGCTCCTGGGCGGCGCAGCTGCTGTGCTGCCGTGTTGCTGTGTCAGTGTGCTACCCGACTCTTCCTGCCCGGTGAGACTGTCAGCTGCTACAATGGCCACCCCCAGTGTCCTGACTTTTGACGCTGAGGGTCGCGCCATTGACTTTGCATTCTGGATTGAGGACCTGCAGCTGTACTTACTGTGCGATGCGATCGATGAGGTTTCTCTCTTTGACTTTGTCTCTGGCGCTGTCCCTGCCCCTCCTGCTGATGCTGACCCCACTGTTCGCTCCAAGTGGGCCACACGCGATGCTGCTGCACGTCTTGCTGTGCGTCGCCACCTCCCTTCCTCCGAGCGTGCTGCTGGTGCTGGAGGTTCTTTGGCTGCAGAGGGTGCTGCTGCCGCGTGTCCCGGAGGTGCTCGTGCTGTGGGTGCTGGAGCTGCCGGGCCTGTTGGTTCTCCAGGAGCTGTTGCTGCTGAGGGTGTTG